AGGTTGTTTCGGTGTTCTTTAGCTTTTCCGTAGCTTTTCCGCAGCTTTTAGCTCTTCCTTCCCTTTTTTAGATTTTCCCCAGCTTTTTCTTTAGCTGTTCCTCAACTGTTCTTCAGATTTTCGTTCGCTTCTCCTTAGGATGTCTCAGCTTTTTGTATGGTGTCACGAACTTTCCCTTAGGTTGTCTAAGCAGTTCTTTGTTTTTTTAACTTTACCTACGCTTTTCCTCCACGGTTCCTCACCTAGCTTTTTTCTTAGCTTTTCCTTAGCGTGTTCGTAGCTTTGCTAGGTGTTTCTCACATCCTTAGTCCTCAATGGAAACCAGAGAGATCTTCGCTTGCACTCTTCACATTCCTTGCGAGTTTCTTTCTTGGCCGCATAGGGAACTCCGCCTCATTTTTTGGCGCGGGTGCTAAGAATATCGCTCGGCGAAAATGCCCCCCTGGGAATATTGAATAAAAGCCGGGTGCTAATAATAACCCCGGGGGGTTGCTTACTTCCTTTTCGGGCTACTCAGCCCCTTGGATCCATGCCATCGCCCTCTCCATGTTCGCGGCCATGCATCACTGGCAGCTAGCGCTGGGCGGGTCCAGCGGCACGCGCGCGTCAGCAATGCGGGGGGAAGGGGGGGGGGGGGGGGGGGCAGGGTGCTTAGGGTTAGGTTTGGGCATGGCGGGAGTATATGGTGGGGAACAGGGCGAGATTGAGTTTGGGCCCTCTACGTTTTACGCCACACGCTACCACCCCTACTTACTACCCCTACTTGCACGCTACCACAGCCTACGGGTCCGTTACACGCTACCACCCCCACTTTACCACCGCTACGTTTAACGCCGCACGCTACTGCAACACGCTACAATGCATGCAGCACGCTAGGGCTAGGGTCATATGCTTTGCACGGGCCCCCCTGGGCGCGCAATTGGGCAGGCGAGTGCCAAGCCGTGGCCGTGGGCCTGTTTGTTTTGTTGGGGATGCCTCCGATGTCGCATCGATTGCGCTAGCCGCTACGCATGCCAGGGGCCGCCAACCACACGCACAGAACTATAATCGATAAGGATGTGCGTTCGCATGCTTGCATTCGAGGATTTGCCCGCGTCCAGCGACCTTCGGCTGGGCAGTTTGGCCCGCCCACTTGCGCCATCCGTTGCGCGCGGGCTACGTCGGGCAAACGCGTTTCATGATTCAGGATGAGCCGAGAGTTCAAACAGCAGGTTCGTACGTTCAGGAGTTGAGGTCTATATGTCATTCATTGGCATCGGTCGAGTTTCGAGTGAGTCACATGCGCGGTTGCAGCGTTGATGTCGCGCCGTGTTCGAAGTTCTCTGGCAGTCGCATCGCCCTCGGCCTCTCCTGATTGAGCGAGTGGGGCGGGGTCCAGCAGTGATCTTTGACTCGACTCAGTCAGCGATGGGCGCCGTGGTCATTGCCCTTGATGGCAGTCGCCAGCGGGGGCATTCATCATTGACATCCGTTGCCCTCTTCCGTGTGGGGCACTGGGCGCGCCGGAGGCGCTGTGTCTGAGGTCCCACGCCCCCCCCGGCAGACGCGCCGACGCATGTCGCCATCGATTGTCCAGTCTCGGGTTCGGGGATTGTGCAGCGGCCCAAAGCGCGGGCTCGGTTTGGGATCCTGTCGCCTTTGTTGTCAGGCGCAGCTCTCGATCTGGCATCTGGCGCCCTCTTGTCTCTAGTCTGAGTTTTGTTGTTGTTCGTGGCTCGCGCCGCTTTCCGAGCCCCCCCTCGTCTCGGCCGCCCCCCCGTCTCGCGATTGGGTCGTCTTGGCTTTGGCCTTCGCCCCTCGCGGGGTCGGCCGTCGCTCGGGCTCCCATCGGGGTCTCGGCGTGCCCCCGGGGAGCTCCTCGGGTTGCAGGGCCATTGGCCATTGTCGTCGTGGCCCATCGCCTGCTCAAGGCCTGGGGCTCGGTTTGTGGGTCTGCCGCGGGGTTCCCCGACGACCCCGCGAGGGCCTCGAAGTCTTTCGAACGCGTCGAGCGGTAAAGCATTCAAGCTCCCAGCCAGGCCGTTTGCGCATGAGGCCGCCGAGGGCGGGGGCCTCGGGCATTGGGCCTTGGGCTTGCATGGGGCCCCTGGGGCCTTGGGGCTCATGGGCCATGGGTTCATAGCCTCTTGACTTGGGCCTTGGGCCCCATGGCCTGCTCGCGCCCACTTGTCCCCTCGCGTGGCCCAACCCCTGAAGTGGCTAGCGATGAGCGGCGGAAGGGGGCGATGCAGGGGGCGACGGGGTGGGGGGGGGAGGCTGGCGAGGGCCGCGCGGTGGGCCCAGGGCCCGGGGGCGCAGCAGGCGGCGCCCCTCGAAACGACGTCGCCCATCAACCCAGCCCCCAGCGAGTGGGGATCGGCGGTTTCCCAAGTTGTTCGCCCCCCTCCCCCCCCTCCGCCCGGGCCTGCCGCCGTCGTGCGCTCTCGAGCCATTCTGAGCCTCGGGTCCGCCGCGATTCGGTCTCGCCTCTTCTCGGGCATCGGACGTAGCACGCCGCGCCATGACGGTGCACGAGAAAGGTCGCTTGGCCAAGGCCGTGGCCAAGAAGGCCGCGCAGCGTGCTACCCCGGCCAAGGCCGAGCTGGCAGATAGTTTGGGGGGAGAGTTCCTGGGGGTTCCAGTATGCCGATCGCTTTCGCCCGTCCTCATTGTTTACTCGGCCGTCGAATCGCTCGCCCAGGGCCCCGCGGCGCCCGACGAGGAGATGGGAGAGGGGGCCGGGGTGCCCTTCGAGGGGCAGGCCGCCTTTTCGGCAAGGCCGGGGGCGCCGCGGGACCACGGGCGCTCGTCCTCTGGCAGCGGCGCTCGGCTGGTGTGTGGGATCTGCAAGAAGAGCTCCAAGGGCGGTTGTTAGCTCCGTTCCGTATTTTTACGCACCCTGTCTTCATTCTTGATGCTTCCATTCAGTTCCGTTCTCCCCCACCTCTCGTCGTCTTCCCCCCTGTCGTCCTCCGCTGCGTCGTCGTGGTCTTGAGTCCTGATCGTCCGCGTCCTCCAGCCTCTGGCCGTCGTCGTCTTTTGATTTCCCCTCCTTCCTCCTCCCCCTCCTCCCCGTTGCCCCGATCGGCTCCTACCTCGCTGCTCTCGTTCTCCGCTTCGCCCCCCCGCGGCCCCCGCCTCCGCCCATCCTCTGACTCTGACTCTTCGTTCTATTCCCTCCCCTGCCCCAGGCCCGCCCCTCGCCCTTCCTGCCGTTGGGGCCGCCGTGGCAGCTGCGAGTCAACGCGGGGGGTTTTGAGAGCAAGGCGCGACGGGGGGAGTAGAGCCCCAGTAGAGTACGGCAGGAGGCAGGACCAGGAATCAGGAGTCAGGAGGACATCGAACCCCGAGGACGGGGAGGAGGACGATGAGCAGGCGCAGGAGGATCGGGAGAAGGAGGAGGCGGGCAGGGCTGGCGACGCAGCGGGGATATGATACAGGAGGAGTGAGTAACGCGTGGCAGGATGAGGGCGATGATGGATGAGGGTATCCCTCCTTCCTCTACTCTCCTCTCCCCTCCTTCCACCGAGCTAGCGCCTTGCCTTCTCGCTGCGCCCCGTGCGCCCCCCCCCCCCCCCCCCAGGTTGAAGGGCCGCGTCCATTTACCGACCCCCATCTAGATCAACCGCCCCCCTACTTCGCAGTGTACAGAGGAGCAGGCATGAGAGGCAGAGGGTAGAGTAGTAGCGGATGTGCTGATGGGAAGAGAAGCGAAGGGAAGCATATCACGTTCGTGGACGGCCGCGCAGGGTCTGTGTTTCCAACCGCTTCCCGTCCAGGTAGAGAGAGAGTTAAGTTTTCCTTGGGCCTTCCAGCCTTCCTTCAAATCTCACGGGGCCCCTTTCGGCTTTCGGCCATGCCCGGGCCCTCCGTGGTTGCAGCTGAACCAAGGCCCAAGGGCCTAATGGGTTTTCTGCTTCTTCTTCTTCTGGGAGCTCGAATGGCCCGCCGCGGCCACGCGCGCGCGCCCTCAGGACGTGGAGTGGTTCGTCTACATCGTCGTGCCGGAGGACGGCGTGGAGATCCAGGTGCCGGATGGTCTGCCGTGCTTCTGTCGCGGGCGCGCGGTGGAGTCCTGCCGACCCCTCGCCCACGAGCAGGTCCGCAAAACAATTCTCGGCCGAGGCCGCCTTCAGGAAGGAGTTCGGCACTGAGATGAGGCACAGGGATATCCCAGCTGGACTGCCGCACTACACGGCCGAGCTGTTCGTGGCGAAATCCATGTGTCTGCACGATGTCCTGCTCGGTTCTGGCACCGTGGTCCGCCAGGGTCAAGCGGGCGACGAGTTTATGGCGCGCTGCCAGCTCGCGAACAAGGACGTCGCCATGAACGCATCCCAGTTCCTCAAGATGAAAGGTTTCAAGCAGTACCAGATGGTCGCGAAGGCCGTGGATGGGGGATCGCAGACGCCAGGAGCTCTTGGATCAACGACAGGGCGGCGGTGGCGGAGCGGCCCATGAGGAGGCGGCGACGGCGCGCGGACGCGTGGCCACCTCGAGCCGGTGGGCCGCGCCGCCCAGGCCCCAGGTCGAGGCGCAGGGGGTGGGGGGGCGGCCGGGGAGCGCAGGTCCGCGCCAGCGAGCTGCCAGAGATTCTGCAAGAGATGACAGCGGCGAGAAGGCCAAGACTGTCTTCGGCGGCGGGGACCTGCCCGGGGGCGACTCGGAGAGCGTGATCGCGACTGTCAACCAGGGCGGGTCCAAGGAGGACTCGATCGACCCCGTCCAAATCCAGCTGGGGGCCAAGCTGGGCAGAGAGCTGAAGGGGTCTTGCATTCGGTTCATCCTCCCGACCACCACCCCATCCTTCCCCCGTCTAACTTAGCTTTTACCTCCACGTTTCATTGTCCAATGGCCCCTCCCCAACTTCTTCGCCCATCCACCCCCATCCGCCCTCTCCTTTCGCTTTCCTCCTCCTCCTCCTCCTCCTCTTCGTCTCTCTCCTCGCTTGGCCCCGGGCCCTGGGGCCCGAGGCCATGGCCCCCTCTGCCTGTCTTCCCGCGCCCTTCGCCCCCCCCCAGGCTCGCGCGCGGCTGGCGAAACTTACGCCAGGCAGCATGTCCCACGCGGAGCTTTCGGCCGTGGTCGATGCCTGCCAGGCGGCCGAGGAGGTGCACATCGGCGTCAACAAGTCCTTCCAGGTGAGCGACGTCTCGGCGCTCCTCAGCAATATCGCCGCGATCACTGTGACCATCGATGAGGAGCACATTCCGCACGTCACTCGTTGGCTGATGTGCCGCAAGATGGCCAACCACGCCTTGGCCGAGCTGCGGGTCAGGAACTGAAGCGCTGGCAGTCTGCGTTCCCCGCCCCCCACCCCTCGGCCACCCGAGACCCTATGGTCCATGGCCCGATAACTCGAGACTCGATGACTCGACCCTGGATTGACTCTCGATGACTCGACCGACGACTCGATGACTCGATGAATCGACCGATGGCGGGGGGCGGAGGGCTCTGGGGGCTGGGGAACGCGAGGGCCATTCGCTTCCCCGAGGTTGACGAGTGGATGCAAATCATCTGGCTGCCAATCGAGAGCGATGAGGTGCAGGATTTCGAGTGGCAGAGCCCGCAGCTCGCCGACTGCCCCCCGGCCAGGGACAGCGAGCGCGAGGAGTGGATGGAGTTCTCTAGGGAGCGGGCGTCCTGGGTCTTGGGCGAGGCGTGGTTCACGGGGCAAACTTCGACTTGCGGTTGAAACCGCGTGTCTGGGATTTGGTGCTTAGCTCAGCCGCCCTCTCGGTTGTCGTCGTCTCCCTCCTCCTCCTCCTCCTCCTTGGCCCCCTCTTCCTGTTCCTCCCCCTCTCCTCTCCTTCTCCCTCGCCCCCCTCGCCGCGCCCCCCCATCCGCCCCTCTTGCCCCCAGGAGCTCGTTCCCCGTGCCACCCTCGAGGCCCTCTTATTTTCTGCGCTCTACTCCTACTTCCTACTCCTGCCCCCCATGCATATTTGTCTTCGCTTGCTCACTCCGGCTTTCATGCTGTCTCCCCTTCCGGGAAGGGAAGGGCCTTCCCCCATCCCCGCATCTGAACCTCGCTGTCGTTCTCCCCCTCTTCCTCCTTTCGCCCCCCCCCCACCCCGCTCTCTTCCCCCCCCTCCCCCCCCCCCCGCATCCATCCCTCGAGCCTCGACCTCGCCCGGCTCCTCTTCCCCCCCCATCCCCCTCCTCCTCCTCGCGCCCCTCACCCTCTTCTCGTTTCACCCCCGCGCCCCCAGGTTCTCCATGCTGAGCAAGTCCGAGTCCGAGCCGAAGGAGCTCGTGATCGCCAGCGTTGCGTTCCTGAGCAAGCTTGAGAGCCACCTGGCGCGGGCGGAGTACAAGGACCTGATGGGAGCCTGTCGTTAAAACCATGAAGGGTTGTGTGGCCGTGCTCTCGCCCACCCCTGGCATGATGGGCACTGGTCTGAGCGACGTCGACTTCATTGCGCCGGGGAAGAAGGCCTTGAAGAAGGGCGATCGCGTCGGCAGCGTCTTTGACAACATGGGCGAGACCATGATGGCGATCACTATGAAACCGAACTCGCGATGGGCCAGGATGGCGCAGACCTTCCGCGACAACTTCGGGGCTGATATGGGGGCCCGCGACGCTTTCCAGAAGTTCCTTCGGGAGCTTTCAGCAGATGGGCCCGACGTGGGCGCGCTCGCTGCGGACTTCGAGGCGAACGTGGACACTTGGAAGACCTTGCGGGAGGGCGCGACGAAGGAGCTCCAGGAGGAGCTTGCCCAGGTCTTCCAGAGGGCCTTCAGCGGCATCCAGCAGGCGGAGCGCCCCTCCCTCGAAGACGTGGAGACGTACCGGGCGATGATGGCGGCGTGCCGGGCCGCAACCCACCCGATCTTGGCGACGCTCGGTCTGGACTTGTCCGACGCAGTGCACTCGTGGTCGGAGCAGTGCAATGTCGTCCGGTTCACGTCGGCGATGCAGGATTTCATCGATGGCCCTGATGCGGTGGAGGTTGATGGAGTCTCGCAGACGTTGGATCTCGTGACCTCCCCCGCGTTCCTCGAGGGGGCGGATGTGAAGGGCGCGCTCCAGAAGTGCATCGAGTCGTCCTTTTCCATGTTCTCCGCCGTTGTGCAGACGGAGCTCATTTCCAGCATCGATCAGCCCGGGGTGTCAAATATTCACAATTTATGGGGCAAGGTCGCCAAGATGAAGAGCGTCAACGATGTCCTCCCAGAGTGGGCCCAGGCTGCCAAGGCCCTCGCTCGGGTCGCAAAGGCAGCCGCGCAGATCATGGAGAAGAGGGGGGCGTGCCGTGCTGCGATGCAGAGCGGGGCCGAGGTGGACATGCTTTGCCGCCAGCTCATCGCTTCGATCGTCGTCACGTCCAAGGAGACCTCCAAGCCGCCGCGCATTGGGAACTCCACCGCCAAGGAGCTGAGGGACAACTGCATGCCGCGCCTGTCTGTGCTCGTGGAGGATGCTCGCCCGGTGGTTCGAGGCGCTGCCAAAGTTTGGGCATCCCAGTCGGATCAGTTGATGGAGAGCCGCTCGGAGCGCATTGAAAAGGTAATGTTCGGCACCGCTGACGGGGCGGATTGGCACGCGGGCGTCGACGACGAGGTGCAGGCCTTGGCCTACTGGAAGGCGGCGTTTGCGGACGCGGGCCAGAGTGCCATTTTCACCGCCAGCGATAAGGAAAGGGCGGGTCGAACGTCCCGGTGAAGCACCCTTCACCTGCCCCGTCGGGGCCGACCTCCGTCCCCGTCGACGGCGCCCCGAAGCCCCGACCGTCGCGCGCGGGCGCGGGGGGTGGGGTGTCTGGGTTTCGTCTGGCGTTTGGCGGGGCGGCCCCGGCTGGGGAGGTGTAGAGTATTTTTGCGCTTCGGCCGGAGGAGACGATTTCAACCTGCGCCTACCAGAGCTTCTTGAGCGGAGAGGAGGACCCGCCGAAGGTCGACTCGGGCTTGCAGGATCGCCTGAAGAAGGGGCTCACGGTTGCTCGCACGACTCGCCTGGAGGTCCGCCTGGTGAAGGTATCGCAGAAGAACGAGTGGAGCGTGAAGACCCGCAGCCAGAAGATGACGACCTACACGAACGAGTTCATTGCTCAGGAGAACAAGCCGCCCGCCTTCCACAAATCGGTGAAGGCGCTGGTGGAGAACTGCAGGAAGGCCGCCTCGGAGAGCGACGAGTTCGAGAACCCGGAGAAGCCCGACAAGGCCAAGAAGCTCGAGAAGCCCGACAGGGACAGCAAGGCTGCCGCGGCCAAGGCCGCCCACAAGGCGAAGGGCGCCTAGTGGCCTAGAGGGCCGAGTGCACGGAGAGCAGGGGGTCCGCCCTGCTCTTTTTTGGAGGCCTCCCTCGAGACGACTCGAGAGGCCAGTGGGTCCTCGCCTCGAATCCAAGATCGAGGCGTCCTGGGGATTGAACAGACATGTGTAAAACAACGATGCTGCCCCTTGCTAGTTGTCTGTTCTGTGATACAAGGGTCCAGTGGTTCGTCGCTTCCGTTTCCCCTTCCCTCCGTCTCTCCTGCCTGCAGGTTCACAGATCTGCATATGTCCAGGTTCCCCGCCCCGTCTACCCGCCCTTCCCTTCCGCCCCGCTCCGACTCTACAGTCTCCGCTCCTCGATCCTATATCTTCTTTTTCCCTTCCTCCTCCTCCACCCCTGCTCCTCTACTCTATCATGGGGTTTTTGTTTTCTCTGGGTGGCCGCGGGCCACGCCCGCGCCCAGACGCGCGCGCGCACACACGCAAGCGCGCACACACAGACACACACGCACATCATGATCATCCTCGGGCATTCCATGCGAGTCCGCTCGCGCGGCAGGGGCCTCCCCCGTGGCCCCTGCCTTCGGGGGTCCCACCTCCGAGTTGGAATTCCAACGGATATCGGCATCAGCGAGCCCGCTCGCACGGAATGACCCTCGGGTGCATTCCATGCGAGCTCGCTCGCGCGGAAGGGGCTTCCCCTGTGCCCCCCCCCCCCCCCCCCCCCCCAGGGGGGTCGCATTTAAAATTTCGAATTCCAACGTCTATCGGCATCAGCGAGCCCGCTCGCACGGAATGACCCTCAGGGGCATTCCATGCGAGCCCGCTCGCGCGGAAGGGACTTCCCCCGTGACTAGGGGTCCCACCTACAAGTTGGAATTCCAACGGCTATCGGCATCGGCGAGCCCTCTCGAACGGAATGACCTTCAGGGGCATTCCATGCGAGCCCGCTCGCGCGGAAGGGGCCCCCCCTGTGGCCCTTAGGGGGCCCCACCTGCCAGTTGGAATTCCAACGCCTATCGGCGTCGGCGAGCCCGCTCGCACGGAATGACCCTCAGAGGCATTCCATGCGAGCCCGCTCGCGCGGAAGGGGCCTCCCCTGTGGCCCCTAGAGCACCCCCGTTTAAAAGTTGGAATTCCAGCGGCCATCGGCATCGGCGAGCCCGCTCGAACGGAACGACCCTCAGGGGCATTCCATGCGAGCCCGCTTGCGCGCCCCCCCCCCCCCCCCCCGTGGCCCCCAGGGGCCCCACATAACATATTAATATGTTGAATTCCAGCGGCTATCGGCGTCGGCGAGCCCGCTCGCACGGAATGGCTCTCAGGGGCATTCCATGCGAGCTCGCTCGCGCGGAAGGGATTTCCCAGGGTTTAACCTAAACCGACAAGTTGGAATTCCAACGGCGATCGGCATCATCGAGCCCGCTCGCACGGAATGACCTTCAGGGGCATTCCATGCCAGCCCGCTCGCGCGGAAGGGACCTCCCCTGTGGCCTCTAGGGGGCCCCGCTTCCGAGTGGGAATTCCAGCGCCTATCGGCATCAGCGAGCCCGTTCGAACGGAATGGCCCTCAGGGGCATCCCATGCGAGCCCGCTCGCGCGGAAGGGACTTCCCCTGTGGCCCCTAGGGCCCCAGGGGGTCCCACCTAAACGTTGGAATTCCAACGGCGATCGGCATCGGCGAGCCCGCTCGCGCGGAACGACCCTCAGGGGCATTCCATGCGAGCCCGCTCGCGGCGAGGAGGCTGTTGGGGGAGGGGGATGATGAGGAGGTCTAGGAGAAGGAGGAGGAGGAGTGGGAGGAGGAGGAGGATGAGAGTAAAAAGGGTGAGGAGGCGGGGATTTCAACCGCGGCGCCGTCAAGAGGACGAGGTTGACATGGGCGCTGCTCAAGGCGGAAGAGGGGGGGGATGGGGGGGGGGGAGGGGGAGGAGGAGCATCGTTCTGATAGTGTGCGCATTCCATGCAACATGAGGTTTTCATATGTGGGGTCCATCTGTTGGGGTAATTTATATTCCTTCTCTCTCCTCCCCCCTCCCCTCCATCCTCTTCTACT